TCCCGGGTTTATTCCAGCGCCTGAGGTCAGCACAACAGGAAAGGAGCGCTGGGAACCCCCAGCTGCTTCCTGACGTGTCCGGCCAAGTTTGCACTCTGCCGTTAAAATAACAGCAGCTATTTCCTGCCCCGCCGAGGGCCCACACACCTTTGTGGCGCAGCGCATTGCCCTGCCTCTCTGTAGGACCCCGAGAGGAAACCACCAACAGCCCTCTGCGAGAGCAAAGCGAAAAGTACCTGTGTGAAAAGCTAAGGAGAGGAACAAGATAACGCCCATGTGGAAAGCGGAACACGACGCACAGAGAAAGGCAGAAATTCCTCCACAGTCAAGGGAGGGCGGTGGGCCGTACCTGTGCGGGGGGATGCAGGGCACAGAAACCACAGGCGCTGCAGCTCGTTTCTCTGCCAGGATCTTCCGTGCCTTCTTCATCTTAATCCTAGACTTGGCCTTTGCTTTTTTGACTTTCTCAGAGCTCCAGCCCTTCCCCTCCTCCTCCTCCTCCTCATCCTCCTCTTCCCCCTCACTGTGGGAGAGGGTGGGAAGCCTGCGTACAGAGCCCGGCGGCGTGTGGATGTCACAGTAGGCAGTTTTGCGCACACTGAAGGAGGTACCGTTGGCCCCTGTCTCCCGGACAGGCTCCATCTTCATGTACAGCCCGGCCTGCTGGGCGCAGGTGACATGGAAGGCAGTGTAGCAGTTGGCTTTGTGACACTGGATGCAAGCCCCGGAGCCGCGCTGCTTGCAAATGTAACAGGTCAGCTTCCAGCGTGCGGGCGGGATATGCTCGATGCTGTCGATGGGCTCCAGGAAGACGGTGTTGGCAAAGCACACCTCTGGGATCCAGAGGGCACAGACCACGTGTGCCCAGCGCCCGTCGTCTGTCTGCTTGAAGGCCCCCCCCTTGTTTGGGCAGAGGGCGCAGTCCACGGCTCGCGAGGGGGACTGCAGGCACCGTCTGCAGAGCCACTGTCCCTCCGGGATGTAGGGCACCCCGTAGCACTCCTGATGCACAGCCAGGTTGCACATGTCGCAGAAGAGGATGACATTGCTGTTCTGACACTCCCCGTCATTGCAGATGCAACAGACGGCATCCTCATCCACCAAGGCGTTTGGATCCCCCTTGTTGTGGCTCTCGAAGTAGGACTCCTTCTCTAGCCGGTCCATCAGGTACTCAAAGATCTCCTGGGGAATGGGACTCACACCTTCGGTCTTCCGCCGCTCGTTCATGATGTCTAGCCAGATGTAATCTTCCTCATCCATGTCGTACTCCACCTCCTCATCCAGCTCCTCTGCCGACTTCTCGATGTACCTGGAAGGACAGCACAGGAGGGTGAGGGCACGGCTGGTGGAGGCTTGGAGGTGCCGGACCCTAAATCCTGCA